GTACTTTAGAGAGGTCCCTAACAGCAGACTTTCCCATCGCAATATGCTTTTTTTATTTCCTGGCTACTGGTGCCAAGAGTGTTGACTGTGATGGGAAGTTTTTCTTGATTAGTGTTCTGTTTCCATACCTTTTCAATTATATGCAGAACAGATTATCTGGGAGGCTGGGTTGAATGAGGAGGAATGTGGTATCAGGATTGGAAGAAGATTCATCAACAACCTGTATTATGCAGATGGTGCAACCCTGCTTGCTGAAACTGAGAAGGACCTGAAGTGCTTGCTGCAGAACGTCAAGGACTATAGTCTTCTATATGAATTGAAGCTCAGCATCAAGAAGGCAAAGATCCTCACCACTGGGCTGATTGGTAGCATCTTGATGGATGGTGAAGAGATTGAGATTGTTAACGGCTTTAGTTTGCTTGGCTCCACAATCAACACTCTTGGTTCCAGCAGCCAGGAAATCAAGAGACAAATTGCATTGGGAAAGGTGGCTGTCCCAGACCTCTCCAGAGTACTGAAGAGCAACAATGTCAGTCTGGAATCTAAGGTGTGCCTGATGCGGGCCATGGTCTTTGCAGTTGCTTGCTATGCATCAGAAAGCCAGACAATGACTAGGGATTATAGAAAGAGAATTGATGCCTTTGAGCTGTGGTGCTGGAGAAGAATGTTGAATATACCATGGACTGCCAGGAGAACAAACAGGTTTGTCCTAGAGAGGGTGAAGCTGGCTTGCTCCTTGGAGGCAAGGATTCTGAGGTTTCATCTGACATACTGTGGGCATGTTGCAAGGCAGGACCAGTCCTTGGAGAGAGACATCATGTTTGGAAGGACGGAGGGACAGAGAAAGAGAGGGAGACCATCAATGAGATGTATTGATGCAGTGACTAGAGTAATGAGAGTAGATGCATCAGAGACAGTGAAGTTGGCACTGGATAGAACAGGTTGTGCATAGGGTTGCTATGAGTTGCAAGCAAGGTGACAGCACATAACAACAAGTGTTAGGTTGTTTCTATTGTGTCTACGAAAGTTGTTGGTTCTCCTCTTTAAAATGTTACTAATTAGTTGCCAAGTTAAAATGTTCACTCTGTGACGTGAGTTACTCACTCTATGGTAAGTCCTATCCAGGAAAATTTGCCTTTCCTGAAGTCCTTGAAGTTCTCTCTCATCTACATTGCAGCCCTGTATGAATCTCACCTTGAAGTAGTCCCCTGACACCAACTCTATAGGTCTCTTTCATGTATGAAGTGGTTGAGTGGTGTGAGACCAGGTGCTCTACTCAAGCGGTTTCTCATACACCTTTTCTCCTGGAGCTTGATGTCCTCCTTTGTCTCTGGAGTGGCATGAGATCAGAGATCATGGATGCCAATTCGAGCAGCTTGTGTGCAGGGGTTTACAAGTCAGCTGTCTCTCTCTCACGGAGAGCAATGAAAATTCTTTCCTTTGCTTGAAGTTTCATATACTAAAGTCTCTTGTCCCGTTTGATCCCTGGGGTGGCCCCACGGCGATACAGGCAAGGACCTCTGATGGGGGGACCTATAACCCCAGGGACACCTCAGTCCCGTCCGACCCTCTTCTTTTTTAAGTGTCTTACCTGGCATATAGCAAACAGTAAACATGACCTACATGATGAGCCAGTAGATAGCATATTGATAGATGGAGAAAGGATGGAGGTTGTTAATTATTTCATCTTGCTTGGATCCATAATCAGCACTCTTGGCATCAGCAGTTAGGAAATCAAAAGGCATGGGGGGAAATTGGCTATCAAGGACCTCTCTAGAATGCTAAAGAGCATTGTTGTAACTCTAGAGACTAAGGTGTACCTTATCCAGACTATGGTCTTCTCAATAGCTAGGCATTGAAGAGCTGGACAATGACTAAGGATTACAGAAGAAGAATCGATGTCTTTAAGTTGTAGTGCTCCAGAAGTGTATTGAACATACCGTGGACCACCAAGAGAACAAACAGCTCTGCCCTGGAGAAAGTAAACAAAGTTGCTCTTTGGAGGCAAGGATTTTGAGGCTCTGTCTCACATACTTTGGGAATGTTGCCAGGAGGGACCAGTCCTTGAAGAAGGACATCACGCTTGGATGGGTAGAGGGTCAGTGCAGGAGAAGATAATCCTGGATAAGATGGACTGACACAGTGACTGTGGCAATGGGGTCAGGTGTGTCAGGTGGTGAGGCTGGCTCAGGATAGGATGAGGTTTAAAGCTTTTGTTCATTTATTGTTGTTATGTGTTACTGAGTTTCTTGCGACTCACAGTGACCCTAAGTACAACAGCTCTGAAACCTGCTCTATCCTGAGACAACCTTATTGTCTCTTATCATTTTATTTCCTGGCTGCTGTTAACAAGAGTGTTGGTTGTGGAGCCAAGCAAACTGAAGATATTTACACTCTAAATCTCTTCACTGTCTATTATGATGCTGCCTGTTGGCCCAGTGGTGAGAATCTTTCTTCTTGATGTTAAGTTTCAATCCATACTTAAGGCTGCAGTCCTTGACCTTCTGCAGCAAGCGCTTCAGGTCCTCCTCAGAGAATCTTTCTTCTTGATGTTAAGTTTCAATCCATACTTAAGGCTGCAGTCCTTGACCTTCTGCAGCAAGCGCTTCAGGTCCTCCTCAGTTTCAGCAAGCAAAGTTGCATCATCTGTCTAGCCCATGTTGATGAGTCTTCCTCCAATCCTGATGCCAAATTCCTCCTGGTACAGCCCAGGCTCCTGATAATCTGTTTCATGTATAGGTTGAAAAAGTATGGGGATAGGATACATCCCTGGGGTACACCTTTCCTGATTTTGAAACCCCATAGTTGACTTGACAGCATGTGATGGTGATTAATTATGAAATGCTTTCTCACGTAACTGATACCTCGTGACACGTGATGATGATGATGATGAAGAAATGCTTTCTGTCTTACCTGATGCCTCATTCCCTCCTGTGTTCAGCCCCTGTCATAGGCTGCAGGGAGTTAGGCTCAGCCCATCAGCACCGAATCTGGCATCCCTCAGGCCCTGCCCACACACTGTGCGCCCCTCCTCAAAGCCTGTGTCCAAACTCAGCTTTCCACAAAGCCCTCCCTGCTCTGTCCTGGGCATCTCAGACACTCAGCTTCCCAGACAACATTGAGCTGGGACCCTGTGCTCATCCTGGAGGAAAGTTTCTGTTGTGACACTTAACTTGTGGGTTCTTTGAAAGCACCTCTCCCCAGCACCTTCCTCAGGGCAGCTCCTCCCGGCAGGTGCTCCCGCTGGCTGTCTCCTGATTGGTCACTGATCAAGGACAGTGACATCATATATCCCGTGAACAACCCCACCAGTGAGCTGCACTTAGGATGGTGTCACCTGCATGAGTCTTTGTCATCTCAGGCAGTGTGTTTTCTGGATCCTTCCCTAACCCTAACCCTGTACACACACAAACAGAAGTTGTGAGCAGTATTGATGTGTTTATGTATAAAGGGATCGTGGTGCTTTTCATCAAATAGACAAGGACGTTCCTGTTGTTGTCAGGGACCACTGAGTCCCCTTAGATTCATAGTGCACCATGAGCACCAGAGAGACTTGCTCTGATTCGACACCGTCCTTACTGTCTCCAGGTGCTTAAGCCCGTTGTTCCAGTCTCTGGGTGAGTTGCTCTCTTTGAGGGTCTTCCTCTCCTTCTCTGACTCTCCACTATACGCAGGATATTGTGCTTTTCCAAGGACTGGTCCCACCTGACAACATGCCCACCTCGTGTGATACAGTGTTACCATCCTTGGTGGCACTTAGGACACAGAATTCTTTGTTCTTTAGGCTGTCCACAGAATACTCACTACTCTTCACTTAGGTATGAATTCAAAGGCACGGCTGCTGCTGCTGCTTCGGTCCTCCTTATTCACTGTCTAACTTTCACAAGCAGTGGAAAATTCCATGAGTTGGTAAAGAGCACTTTGGTCTTTAGACACAAGGAGGGGGGAAAATAGACTGGCATCCTTGCTCTTCAACACTTTAAAGAGGTCCATATGGGAGGGAACAAATCATACCCTTAAAGGCCTCTACTCCTACCCCAAAATATTTTAGCTTGTCATTTAAACTTGTAGATCATAAAGAAACTTTGTAGGAATTTTGGTGTCTTCCCTCCCCAGACAAGGTTTGTTTTGGTCATGCTTTCTGGAGTATATTAGAGATGTGTGTCAATAGCCAGGATGTGTGTGAATAGAAATCTGACGTACCAGACTTGAATGCCATTGGATGTAGTCATCACTGAGCTGCATTTGGACAGCTTGGATGGATGGCCTTTGACTGGATGTCCAGGGCTGATGAGCTCATGGTCAAGTGGACCACTGTGCCCGGCCTCAGTGCCCGTCACACCCTTGGCTCCTGTGTCACTCAGCGTGAACAGACTGTGCTGGAGGCCATGGAGAAAGGCCCCAGACCCCTCCCTGGAGGCCACGGAGAAAGGCCCCAGACCCCGCCCTGGAGGCCACGGAGAAAGGCCCCAGACCCCGCCCTGGAGGCCACGGAGAAAGGCCCCAGGCCCCTCCCTGGAGGCCACGGAGAAAGGCCCCAGGCCCAGGCCCCGCCCTGGAGGCCACGGAGAAAGGCCCCAGGCCCCGCCCTGGAGGCCACGGAGAAAG